AATTATAAAGTATACACGGACAATAACAAAGGAGGGGGGTGGAAACAGAGGAAGGAGGTAGGGAGGGCTGGAATGGTGGGGAGGTGGGGGGAGGGGAAAAGGCAGAAAGTTGTACTTGAACAACAATACAAAAATAAGAATCTTAAAAAAATAACATCTGCAACAAATAAAAAAGTGACTTCACAAAAAAAAAAAACCTTACAGTTGAACCTTAACACTCTTCAGAGAGAAGCACCTGGGCTCTGTAACCACCTCAGAGAATGCTTTTGCCAAAACAATTGTTTTAGCATTGTTTTTTCATGTGACCACTGAGACATAGTGAGAAAATAGTGAACAGTACTCCTGAGTTCAAGCTTTCAAATGCCCAAGTCAGTGTGGAGATCTTGTACTTCAGGGAAGGTAGGTTGGCACCCTTTAGTTTGAGATTCGAGAAGATAATGCATTGTTCGCTCAGCATTTTTATTTGTAAGCTATAAGCAAATATGGAATCTTCTCTCTCTACTGTGATTCTTTTCATTCTTCTATCAAAGGGGACTCTTACTTTGGGAACAATGGCTAAGCAAGGGGAAACCACTTTAGGTTTGATGCTAGGTGGCCCCATGGGCATTTGCTTACCTCAGAATTCATCTATAAGGAAGCCACAGCCAGGGCATTTTAATCCACCAGAAAGAAAGGCCTTACGTGTTTACCACCACACACCCCAAGTTGAGACCTTTTGGAGGGACTTGTTTGTGTGGGAGAGAGTTGCTCAAACACCTGGGACGGAACACCTGGGGTGAGTACATGCATGTCTTGCTCTGTCTTCTGGGTTTGTGACAATGAGGTCAGATGTGGTGGCGGTTATAGAGGTATGGCGGGTATAGGCCATCGTAATGCCACTGGCGCCATTGCTCAATAGCCTCCCGGCCTCTCTCTTCCTGTTCTGGGGAGGAGAGAGAAAATTGTGTTAGTATGGAAAGGACTCTGACCTGAAGAGAATGAGCTGTCTTGTCAGGTGTCAACCCAACTGCCCATGCCATAGTGCCATGAACCAACTGCTCCTGTGTGTATCATTGATGAACATCGAATGTTGGAGGTGGCAGGACCTGAGAGAACTGAGAATCCAAAGGTCATACTGTAAAAATCAGGCCCAGACAGGACGGTAACAGTGTCGGCTGCCAAGATTGCAGAGAAGAAGCTCTGGCATCCCATGTCAGGGATCTTTCCTTACACAACCAGCAAAGGGGGAAGAGCCTCGTGCAGAAACCAGCCCAGAGTTATAATACTTAAGACATAAAATACCAAGGTAACAAAATAGTAATAAAAATAGTCTGTAAGCCATACCATTGAAAAAATCAAGGAAGGAAACAATTGTCAAATTCGAATAATGGGATTATGAGTAACTACTTTCTCTACCATGTTCTGTTTTCTAAGCTTTAAAAATGCTTTTAAAACTAATCATATAAAGGGATGGATGAAGCAAGTGTGGGGAAATCTTGATAATTGTTGATTCTGGGTGTTATTCAATGAAGGTTTATTATACTATTTATACTTCTACATATATTTGACATTTTTCATAAGAAAAGGTTAAAAAGATCAGGAGGGAGTTTTTAATGAGTCTGAAAGTTCTGATTTTACTGTATTTGATAAGACCTATTTCTGAAGAACACCTGTGTTCAATGGTAGAAATAGGCTCCTGAAGCCATTTCAAGCCTGCCTGCTCTTGTTAGGTACCATTAAAGCTCGATAGCACAAGGCCTTCCATGTTTAAAATCATGTGTGCAGCTCCTCAAAAGGTTAAACAATTACCATGTGAGCCAACAGTTCCACTCCTAAGAATATACCTAAAAGAACTAGGTATATACTTAGGAATATATCTAAAAGAAAACAAGACCCAATAAGTGGATAAACAAAATGTGAGATATGCCCTGGCTGGTGTGGCTCAGTGGATTGAGTGCCATCCTGCAAATCAAAGGGTCACCTGTTCGATTCCCAGTCAGGGCACATGCCTGGGTTGCAAGCCAGGTCCCCAGTAGGCGGTGCAGGAGAGGCAACCACATACTCATGTTTCTCTCCCTCTCTATCTTCCTCCCTTCCCCTTCCTAAAAAATAAATAAATATTTTTTTAAAAGTGAGATATAAGCCCTGGCTGGCGTAGCTCAGTGGATTGAGCGCGGGCTGGGAACCAAAGTGTCCCAGGTTCGATTCCCAGCCAGGGTACATTCCTGGGTTGCAGGCCATAACCCCCAGCAACCGCACATTGATCTCTCTCTCTCTCTCTCCCCCTCCCTCTCTCTCCCCCCCTCTTTTCCCTCCCTAAAAATAAATAAATAAAATCTTAAAAAAAAATTTGAATTAAAAAAATTTAAAAAAAAAGTGAGATATATATACACACACACATATATGTATGCAAGTATTATTCAGCAATAAAAAGGGGTTACCTTCTGATACACACTACAACAGCAATGAACCTTGAAACATGCTAAGTGAAATATGCCAGACCCAAAAACACATATTGTGTGAGTCCACTTCTGTGAAATATCTAGATTAGGCAGATTCATAGAGACAGAAAATATATCAGAGGTTACCTGAGGCTGTGTAGAATGGAGAGTTATTGCATAATTGGGTACAGAGCTTCATCCTGAGATGATGAAAGGGTATTGGAAACAGTGACAGTTGCAGAACATGGTGAATGTACTAAATGCCATTGAATTATATACATAAAATTAATTAAGGTGGCAAATGTTATGTATTTTGTCACAATTTTTAAGTATTTTTGAAAAATGTTGTTGGGAGGATGGGAAGTCCTAACAAAAGAAGGTAAGATCAAGGGTCAAAAGCCTATGAAGCTGACTTTAGTGCTAGTGAAATGCACCCTCTGTGCATTGAGCTAACAGCACAGCCTGGTGGCTTCAGCAGGGGAGAAAATTCCCCTTAGCTCCTGTGAGAGCCAAATGACCTCAACAGAAAGGGCCCCTTGTTACCTCTGGTAGTGCAGACAATGTGGCTGCTGAGAATGTTTCCTTCCTATGGGAGCTTCTCATTGGTGCTACTCCAGGTGCTGAAAATCCCCTTAGGGACTTGATACCCCAGAGATCAAGCTCAGAGAGTTGGGCCCAGACTGGAGCTTTGGGTAGCTATTGGCCGTGCCAACCTTCCTCAGGCTGGGTAGACCAGCTACTCTTTGCCAATCTTGAGAGTATGATTCTACCCCCAGGCCATGCCAGACTCTTCTTAGACCATTTTAACTTAGACAAAGGATAGGCCTGCTTAGTAAAGACCAGAGACCTTGGCCGTGGGGCTTTCCTGTAGGACCACTTGTGGCCAGGCATCCTTTGTTATGCAGCCAGCCTGGGATGGCCTGCCTTAAGCTTTTGGCTTTGCAGGTGGAAGCAGATGTATGCTACCACTGAGGCCTTAGAAGTTGGAGCTCAGCACACTGTTTATCCCCGAGCTTTTGGAGGCAGAACTGTTATTTTTGCCCTGTGAGGCTGGTGGTTTTGAGTAGAGTTGCAATGAGCAGCCATGGCAGAGCCGAGCTCGGCTCTAACCTTTCCTATCCACCTTCCCCAAACCAGGACCATGTGCTGGGTAGGTTGATACAGAGGTCTTTGGGAGGAATTTGCAGGTCCTCAGGGAGGCCACTCTTGACCAGAAGGAGAATTCCCTCCAGACCACCTGCCTATAGTTCCTTCCTTGGAAATCTAAGTCTTTCTGGTGACCGGTGCTAATCAATCCCTCAACATTTGCTTTTTTGAAACAAGAATCTTGGGGAGAGGACGAATATCCAACTGCTCCCAATTCTGAGAATTGGTTACATTGTCAGATAAAGATAGCTAACTGAAACCAGAGTCCCATGGCGGGTGTGGGCGGCTGGGGAGTGGGGGCCCCAGGGAAGAGCTCTGAGCACTGCCCCCAGACTGGTGCAGGTGTCCGCAACCTGGCCAAAGGGCTCCAGTCAATGTCCTCAGGCAGAGGCCGGGAAAGAGGAGAAAAATCAGATCAAGGTCCCCCTTTGTCAACATTTACCCTTAGGTTGCTGCCTGCTCCACCTCTCTGCCTCCTTCATGAAGCTGTGGGAAGACCCTCCTCTGGAGCCCTCAGTTTTACCCTTCTTAGCTCATCCTCACGGGCCAGTTTCTGCATCAAAGGTCTCCAGACCTCTATGCATTTGATCACTCTTCATTTACAAGAACATGAGCCTCGCAGACTTAGTTGGCCTCCCTTTCCGCCCACCCACACCCCCACCCCACTGCCTCCACTGAGGTCTTAATGAAATCAGCACTCCTGGGAGAGGCAGGAGCCCTGTCTGCCCTAGGGTTGAGGGCAGGAATGAGAAGTGCGGATTGCCTGGTGAGACACATTGAGTCAAAGAAGACACTTAGCAGGGAAGACACTAACAGCAGGGGTAAGGGCACAAGCAAGCCATGTAGAAACACGCAGATGCCTGATGCTGTGGGTGTGTTGGAGCCCTCGTATCACCTGTAGACATTGGTGTCAGAGGTGGGGAGGGGCTCAAGGCAGGGCACCAGTGACCAGTGCTTTCTGAGTTTTCCTGGTTTGCTTCTACCAATCAGATAAGCTGCTGATTATAGTGTATAGGTAAACAAAGGCCTTGGTTTTCCAGGATGAGTAGTTCCTAGAGCCATCCCACTGATATAAATCCAAGACACTTGAAACTGAGTTTGAAATTCTCCCAGCCCCACTCTACTGGTGCTAAGCCAGAGAACACTGGCCACCACAGTGATACCCAAGTAGGGGGAAATGCAGTCAGCCCCCAATTCCCCCAGCCCCACTGTCCCTGAGCTCATGGTAACCAAGGGGTTACCATTATTTTCCATCCCTTCTCCAGTTCTATGGCCATTTTATGACTTTCTCCCTTATTTTCAAGATTCCTATAGACATGAGAGTAGAGATTCTCTTTCTACTACATACTTAAAATTTTGGCAGAAGAAGTAGAGGCAACTCATGATTTTCCCACAAAGCCCCACTCCCCAGAGATGCTGGCTGAGAGCTCTTACCATCATTTTGCTCCTCCACAAAGTTTTCAAACTCGTTTCGTTGTTCCTCATGATATTCTCTTCGTAGCTCATCAGCCCGCAGCCTCTGCCTGTCCTCCGCTATGAAAGGGCAAGAAGTGAGAGTTGCCCCCTAGAATAGGGGCATCTGCAGATGTTTAGGGGAACACCAGTCATTTTGCCTAAGGAACTTAATCTGGTTGGGAAGGAGTTGTTTGAAAGGGCTAAGGAGGGGGGCTTCACTGAAATGGTTTATTCCTTACAGGCTTTCAAACTTGAAGGACCTAGGAGGTCTTCTCAGCCAACACCACTTTGTGCAAATAAAAGAACTGAGACCCCAGAAGGTGAAGCAATTTAGCTTCACTCATAAGATTAGTGGTGTGTCCAGGTACACTAGGCCACTTAGAAACGAAGTCCAGTGATCAGAAATAAATTATAAGAGGGAGTCATCCAACTTACAGTTCATTTCACATTAATTAATACTTTCAAGTCCATGCAACATCCTTGAGCACCTACCATGGCCAGAATGTGTGGTATGCACTGGGATTAAAGAAGCAAGGAAGAGAGATTCTGTCTCACTACTAAGAGGCATTATGGCTGTTATGATAGGAATCTATACAGCAGTGACCTATGGTAGGCAATCTAAGATGATTCCTGATACTCATACCCATAGGTATGGTAGTTCCCTCCCCTCATGTGGTGCCAGCCTAGTGACTTGCTGCTAATGAACAGAATGTGGCAAAAGTGATGGAATGTGACTTCCCAGATAGGTTACAAACAAGACTGTGGCTTCTGCCTTGGGTTGGTCAGCCTCTCTCGCAGTTTTGCTCTCACTCAGAAATGCCAGCTGCCATGTTGTACCCTGTCTTATGAAGAGGTCCACTCATGGCAAGGGACTGGTGTCCTTAACCAATAGCAAGGATCTGAGGTTTGCTGACAGCCATGTGAATGAGCTTGAAAACCAACCTTCTCGCCATCAGGCTTTGAGATGACTGCAGCCTATTGAGAAACCCTGAGTCAGAGGCTACCAGTTAATTAGGCCTAAATTTCTGACTCTAGCAAATGTGAAACAATAAATGTTTGTTGTTTTAAGCTGCTAAATTTGGGGGGGGCGCAATTTGTTTAAGCTGGTAGATTGGGAGTCGATTGTTATACGGCAACAGATAACTAGTGCAGGATATGAGGTGGTCAGGCAAACTTCCTGATGAAAATACTAACCACAGGTATGCCTTATTCTGTATGCCAATTATTCCAGTAAAGTTGGCTGTCAACCTTTTTATGAGGAGTCTGAGTTCCACGTTATAAAATTGGAGATACACCTCTATGGTTGGAAGAAATGCCCCCAGTGAAAACTGAAACTGTCCCTGAGAACACATAAATATGGTGACTGTTCCTTGGTGGTTGAGCAATGAAGCTCACTAACAATACCTTGAACCCCAAAGGGAATCTTACCTGAATAGCCACATCCCACCTCATCACAGGTACAACTGTTTCTCACCTGTTCTAATTTAGCCTGAGGGGAAAAATCTCTCCACATTTTAGATTTTTAAATGTAAAAATAAATTAGTTTCAAAGTTCATCCACTTCTGCCCTCAAATCTTCACCTTGACCTCTTTGGTGTGAGAGGTATAGTTGTCCCGTGGAAATCATTTAAAACACACTCAGATACTTCAAAATATTTCTTTTGTCTGGGCTTCAGCTGGAAAAATCCATGGTAGCAGTAAGGTCATGTCTGGTGCAGTGGGAACCAGTTCCTTGGTACGGCTCAACTCCCCCCCATGATGTGAGGTATGATTCCCATCACCTCAAAGGTGGGAAGACTGAGGTCCTGTTGCTTCCACCAGCTTGGAAGTATAAGAGGAAGTGGGGGTTTATGATGGAAGCAGAAAACTGAGGAAAGCCATTAGGTTTCTGTCTCACCCCACAGTATGAGCGTGCTGGGAGAAACAAGTGGTATGTTTTTGTGAAATGATTATACTGTAAACCATCTCAAATCCTTCTGGAAATAAGTAAATTGATTAAATGAGAAAAGAATAAGTAAATTGATTAAATATTAGTTATTTATATTAGGTTTATATTATTTAACTTAACTCAGATGAAAATCAAGTTACTTGAATTGGTCTCAGTGCAGGTTCCTTAGGTAAATCCCATGCTTTTCCCACACTTGTCCCTTCACCTGCATAGTTGCAGTGATCCTCAGTCCAGCAGAAGGGACTGGTACACCTGCCCTTCCCCATGCCTTGCTTCTTGCCCCACATCTACACACTTCTGAGGAGGGGATTCAAACACAGAGAAGTGCAGTGATTTAACCAAGGTCACACAGCTGGTCAAGGCAGAGCTGGGACTGGGGCCAGAGCTTCAGGCACCCACACTTCAATGCTGGATAGACCACACTGTGCATGGCAGAGCGCCCTTACAACCCACCACATGCCCCAATGATGCTTCAGGTACCAATAAGTTGCCAGGGTGGTGGGGGTGGGGTAAGGAGAGTGGGACAGGGGGTTTAGACTTTAAGCAGGTGCTTCATGAGCCACCACCAATTCCTAAAGAAGCATTACTCCAGAAAAGCAACCATCTTCCCAAAATGCCTTTATGGAGGTGCCACAAATCAAACCTTTGACTTAGCAATGAATAAAAACAATTTAAATTATTGGGACCAGATGTTATTCTTCCACGGTGCATTGTGCACAACTCTTCTCAGAAACATGCATTTCATTGGATTGGCTCCTCCTTTCACCCTAAAGTGGTCTGCATCTTCACCCAGAAGCTTAAAGATGTCAGATGCCTGTTTTCTGGTTTCAAACTCAAGTTTATCACTTGCCTTTTACTCAACCTGAGACATAAGTGGGCATTGATCTCCTGCCCATCCATAGAAATTGACTAGGTGACAAGAGATGCACTCACTCAAGTGCATCCTAGGTATTCTCCAGGCTGTCCTGGCCCCCCACAACTGACTCACTGAGGTTCTATTTAAGGTGGGGAACCTCTGGATTAGTCATGCACCTCTTTGTTTGGCTTAGCTTCCGAGGATGGAAACTAATTACCTCTAAAATTCATGCCTGTTCCCCACTGAAAGTCTGCCAAAAAGTTGCTTCTCAGATTTCTATCAAGAATTGCCTAACCTCCATTAGTCCTTTTAGTGTTTCTTGACATTTGCTAACTTTTAAATCCCAAATTGTGTGAGGCCTGGAAATTTTCCCAGTGTGGTTAATATTTATCCATTTTTTAAAAGGAATTGTATCTCCCGATATTTTCTGCTCTTTTCTTCCCCATCATTTGAAAACCCTCCTGTTATTTTTATGGAACAAGTTACCTTACTGAGTGTGCTGAGTAATACAAAGGGTTTATTCAGACACACACACAAGTAATGAATCAAGCCGTAGACTCAGAGACAGTCAGCACTCAGAGTCCTTGGAAGAATCTAGTTCAAGGGCAGAAAACCCAAAAGCCTTTGAAAATTGGCAGATCATGGAAATGAGGCCCCTGCTAGTCAGGTGACACCAGGAATCGTTCAGGTAGAGAAGGAGACAGACCTCCGAGCCCAAAGGCCTCCCGAATGCATCAAAAACAAAAACTTTAAAAAAACATTGCTAACTGAACATCACACTTTCAGGTGCTTGTAAATAAGGAAACTTGGGCCCTGGGAGAGGAAGTGGCCAAGGCCACTTAGCAGTAAAACTGTCACCAAACCCACAATCCCAGCTCCAAGTCCCATTGTGCCCCATCCCTGCTCACGATACTCTTGCTCTTGCATATACTGGCTCACTTTGCAATACTCCAAAAAGCACACACTGACATACTGTGCTCGTAGAACATAGATTCTCCCTTTTATGTTTTTAACTTTCTGAAACCTGGATGTGTCTCATCACTGTGAAGTTCATGTGGCACTGCCCCTTTTTGTTCCTTACCCTGACAGTACAGTCAGTCAAAAAAGTTGTGACCTGCCACCAAGTAAATGTGGAATTTCTAATTAAGAGCTGTAGCCACTTTGATGCCCGAGGACCTAGGTTGAGCCCTCAGTCCCTTGCGATGGTCCCCATAGTTCAGTTGCCTGGGAGAGAGAAGGAACCAGAGGGACCAGAAGAAGGTGGGTCACCTGCATCCTTACCATTGACCTCGTCTCGGGATTTGGAAGACCGCTTGCCACGCTTCTTGAGGAAATTCGAGGCATCTAATTCCTGCATGAATATCTTCTGTTCCACGCCTGAAACCCAAAAGAGGCCAGTCATAACCAGCTCAGGCCCACCAGAGCCACCGCAGGGGCTGGCACACCCACCCTGCACCACGGGGTGGCCCCAGCACTGACCTTCCTGGGCCTCTTGTCCAGCTACCTGCCTGGTGCCCACAGATGCACCTGTCCCCTCCTGCAGCACTGTGGACAACAGCACAGAGTGAGGGCTGCAGCACACCCAAGGGACCCTCACCCCAGCCAGGCCAGGACAGTCTTTCCCAGACTCTGTGACTTGCCAGGCCCCAGTGTGTCATCCTGGGTCCCACACACACCAGCCCAGAGCTGATCTCCCTAGGAAACCACCAGGCAAGCTGTTTTCTCTGCATTGTATTATGTTACACACACCACCCCCACCTAAGCACAGCCATCTTATAGATAAATACCCGCCTTTGTCTCTGGGCTAGCCACCTGAGCAGCCTCACCTAACACCTGTCCCTTCTGGAGCGTCCCCATACTCACTGGACAGGAGAAGCACAGCGGTGGAGAAACAGGAGACAAGGAGAAGCTGTTTCCAGGCCATCCTTAGAGAGGATGAGGCTCTGTCTGGGAACCACAGGACAGGCAGAGAGGGTTCTGCAGACCCTGAGGCCTCTGGGTCCTCACTTCGGTGTCAGGTCAGGAGAGAGGGAGGAGAGATTCAGGAGGCTGGATGCCATTGAGCGGAGGGGTGGGAGGGGTCCCGGTTGTGGCTTCCATTGGCTACTCCTGCCGGAGCACCAGAGATGTTTTTGGCACCTTGCAAACCTCACAGAAGCAGAGCCTGTCCTTGGGGCCTGGGCTGAGACAGTTCTGAAGTGACCTTTCCAAGATCCGCACCCAAGGAGTCGCTGTCGGAATGCCCAGCCTCAGAGTCAGGATTCCAGAGACCAAGGGCAAGTTTCAAAGGGCTCCTGGCATCTGCTGCAGAGGAGGAGGGGATTCTCGTCCTGGAGGCTGCAGCCTGTGCGAGGGAGGGAGAAGAGCTCAAGGGGGACTTTGACTCAGAAGTGAAGCAAGGAGGGGCCAGAAAGGTGGGAAGACCCCCACCGAGGTGATGCTTGCACAGACAGGTAGGACACTCTGAAGATAGCCAGAGTGCCCCTTGCCTTGACACTTGTCTCCCCAGCTGATACCCACGGTCAAGCAAAGCATGGACTCTTTGGCCTGTGGCCCCAGAGCCCCTTCAAGATGTTGAGGAAGAGAGCAGAGTCAGCCTTCCTCTGTGGGGGCAGAGTGTGCAGTGTGGGCAGAGCGCCCAGCTCAGCATACTCCTCTAGACGGATACAAAGGCACACCCTACATAGGGGAGAAAATGGGTTCCCAGACATGGGGGTGCCAATGGCATCAGAGCTCTACGGGGTCATCAGAGCACAGTGTCTTTGGAGATGCCTTGATACCATCATCTATTACAAACTATCTTCAATGCTTTGCTACCAGCTGCAGCGTTGACTTTGGGCATTGCTTACAATTTCCCTAATGGTGATCATGCCCAGACCTGGGGCACAACCCACACACCCTCCTGGAGTTCCTCTTTCCTGAGGTTTACACAGCATCATCCTTGTGTACTTAGACCACTGCCCAGAAAAGAAATGTTAATGGCAGGAACACAACTGAGGCTGAGTAAACAAAGTATATGAGTTGGTTTCCAGTGGAGGAAAGTGCCACTGACACCTGTCCAGGCTCCTGGTGGCTGAGCGTCCATGCAGGGCTCCCCTTCCACACTGGCTGACCCCACTTAACAGGGGCAGGCTCTGCATGATTGACCCAGGAGGAGCAACATGCAAGAGGACACAACAAGGATCTATCTGTCAGAGTAACTATCTGTCACATGGGAGAGGGAAGGGCCACAGAACAGGGTGGTTTGGGTGGAAATCTTTGGTGAGAAAGTGGGTATGTGAAATACCTGTGACATTCTTGATGTACTAATTCCTCTTGCTGCTGTTTTCAGTTCCATTTATTTCAATCACATGTATTTACTGAACACCTATTTTAAGGCAGACACCTGTGCTCATCACTAGCCAACCAGCTTTGGGTAAACCTATCCAACATCTCCAAAGACAAGTCTTGAAGGACAAGGGTTTCCAGAGCCCAGTTAGAAGGGAAGGCATTATCCAAAGGCCCAGAGGAGTGAGGCCCATTTGAGGAACTGCAGGTAGTTTTGTAATACCAGAGCATAAGAAACATGGAGAAGCTGAGTTAGGCAGGGCCTAGGTCACAGAAAAGAATTTGGCCTCCACCTTTGTGATGACTATGTGCTGTGGAGAGTGGCCCATAGTGTCCACGGCATTATGGATGAGACAAGACATTCACATGGACTACTGAGTCCTGTGGAGGAAAAGGCATGGCACAGTTACTCTCTCAAGGGGAGAGCACCCCGACCCTTGCCTTGACAGGTTTTTACTGGCTTTCAATTTGCACAGGAATACACGTAAAGCTCATTAATCATTGTCAGGCAGTAAGGATTAAACAATAGACAGTATACAAAGAACTATGAGGGCTTATTCTGAGTCAGTATCTGTTAGCTAAAGGGCTACAAAACTTTGGGAAACAAACTCATTTCCTGCTCGGACCCTTATCATTTAATTGAGAGCATTCTTGGCAAAGCAGGTGTCACAGGATATATATGTATTCTTTCTTAGGCCTGATCACACAGGGAACCCGCCCTTTCCAGCACAGGGCTGCACCACCCTCTGTCATTGTTTCAGGCTTACATCAGGCAGGGGATGTAAGGAGATTAGGAGACTTCTCACAGACAGAATGAGGACTCAGGCTGTGTCAAAGCCAAGGGGCAAGGGTCCATCACCCCCTTTTGCTATAGCCCTCCAAGTCCTTCCCTGGGGCCTTCCTGCGATCATGCCTGTCTTAGGTCATTCACCCCTGAGGAATCTTACCTGTCATTGGCTAACCAATCAAGCACTGGGGGCCAGGCAGGGTGAAGAAAAATGAGCAGAAGTGGTGCTCCTGTCTGGGAGATAAGTTTTGTCTCCTTAGTGGATTAGGGTCTGAAGGTCACTCACTCAGCCTTAGCCAAGAGGGAGAGGGTTGCAGCTTCTGAAACCAGGCACAGTTGTTCCCAACAACTATGAGCACAGCCCTCGGGCCAGGCTCCTGGGTTCAATCCCAGCTCTAGACTTAAGCAGCTACACAGCCTTGGGTAAGTCATTTGACCTCTGTGACCAATTTCTTGCTCTGTCACTTGGATTGATGTGAGGATTAGAGGTAAGGCCTCCAAAGTCCATGAATGGTGTCTGGAAGGCACAGAGCATTGTATATGTGTTTGCTATCATGACACAGTAATGAACCATTGAATGCTTTTGAGCAAGGAAGTGATATGAGGTTTCTTTTACAAACACCATCCTCCCAGCAATACAGACAGTGAGGGATTAGAGTCAAGTAGTGAAACTGAGAGAAGGCTGTTGCAATAGTTCAGATGAGAGAGGATGGTGGTGACAGGCAGGAAGAGCAGGAATAGAGAAGAGAGAGCATTTAAACAGATTGAAGAAATAGAATAAATAGGACTTGATGACTGATTAGCTAGAGTCTGTGAGAGGGTGAGATGCATGAATTTCAGGTGGCTCCTGAGTTTCTAGTTTGGTAAGTGGGTGAGATCATTGGGTGAGGTGTAGAAAACAGAGGGAAGAGAAAGCTCAAAGGGCGCGTCCCTGGAAAAATCAAGTGCACAACACCTATGGGATTCAAACCAGGCCTTCCGAGGGCAAATCCAGTGCTCTTTCCACTTCCTCATAAGCACCATTTTGTGAATGTATCCAGGGGTGTCCAACCTTTTGGCACCTCTGAGCCACATTGGAAAAAGAAGAGTTGTCTTGGGCCACACATTAAATACACAAACACTAACAAAAGCTGATGAGCAAAAGAAGAGGTTTTAGGTAAATTTACGATTCTGTGTTGGATTGCATTCATAGCCATACTGGGCCGCATGCAGGCCACGGGCCACCAGTTGGACACTAAACCATCACAAGTCCATTTTAAAGCACTTTCATCACCACCCAAAGAAATCCATACCCATCGGCAGTCCCTCCCCATGTTCCACCAACCCCAAAAACCCAGACAACCACCAGTCTGCTTTCTGTTTCTGTAGATCTGCCTCTTTAGACATTCCATCTAAATGGAATCATACAACATGTGACCTGCTGAGGCTGGCTTTCACTTTGAACATTATGGTCAGGGTTCCTCCAGGTGGCTGCCTGTATCAGTACTTCATTCCTTCTTATTGCTGGATAGTATTTCATTGTAGAAATAGACCACATTTACCCACTCACCAGTTAATGAACATTTGGGTTGTTTTTCCCTTTGGTTATTACAAATAATGCTATTATGAACATTCTTGTGTAAGTTTTTGTTCTCGTTTCTGTTGGGTAGATATCTAAGAGTGGAGTTGTTGGGTCTTGTGGTTTGACTTTTTTGAGGAGCTCTCACATCACATTTTCAATGTTCATTTACTCATTTATCTCCTTCAGTGCTGTGAGGTCTCTTTTAGGAGAAGTTTCCACCTTGTTCATACCTAAAATTGTATGTGGCACAGAACAGATGCTTCATAAATGTTTGTTGACTTAATCAATGAAAATACTCTCAGTTGAGTGCATTAAAAGGAAGCATTTATGAGTTCATTTCAAGAGACTATTCATAAGAAGGTACCTGTACAGGGGCCTGAGATGCCCAAGTTTATTTATCACTGGGTTGAGGGTTCTTCTCAAGCAGCAGGAGTGAATTTTGCAGTTCATTTGTGAATTGCCTTAGAGGACAAGCAAGACAGCCTTCACATTCCATTCACCTTGACTACCCTTTAGAGAGGTTTCTTCCCTGACCCTTCTTTTCTTAGAGCATTTGCTTAAAAAAATACTTGCTATTAGCCCTGGCTGGTGTAGCTCAGTGGACTGAGCATGGGCTGCGAACCAAAGGGTCACCAACCAGTTCAATTCCCAGTCAAGGCACATGCCTGGGTTGTGGGCCAGGTCCCCAGTGGGAGTAATGTGAGAGGCAACCACACATTGCTGTTTCTCTCCTTTTCTCCCTCCTTTCCCCTCTCTCTAAAAATAAATAAACTCTTTAAAAAAACTTGCTATTGTATGTTCTTACTCTGCCCTTTTGCAATATATACAAAGGTTCTCCCAGCCTCTTTCTAGTTTTACAACCCAGAACATTTCTTTCTCGAGGACCTGGGAACCATATTTTTGAAATGAAAACATTGAAGGAGATAACACCCCCACCTCCCAGTCTCTGTAGGAGGGGACATGCCTGACTTCAGTGTGTTTCTTACTGCAGCTGTGAAGGCCAAGTAGCAAGCATAGGTGGCCTACTCCCCACACCCCAATGGTCCCCACAGCCCCAGTTCTTGAAGCCCTTTGTGGAGTCCAGTTTAGTCTCTCTACTCTATCGAAATCGCCTAGAATAAAGTCCTCCTTGCCTGTTTAACTTTGTCAGGGCAATTAATGGTGCAGTTATAACCATTACAAGGACATTGACTCAACATATCACCTGGTCCATCAGAGACTGTGGGTGCAGCTCAGGTGAGTAGAAATGCAGGTAAGTGGTGACAGGGCCTCCATGCAAATGAGAACACTAGATGTTGTGCCAACAATAAGCATTATCTCAAAATAGATATATAAAAGCCCATTGTCCATACCTAATGTTAAGAATATGTCCTGTTCTTTTATTTCACTTCATTTTCAATGGGCTAATTATGTTCCTGAGCCTCTCCTCACACCCACCCAACTGACAGAGAGAGTTAAGGATTGTACCAAAAATGAGACTCATGACCCTTGAAACCAAGAGGTCCCC